ATTACTTAACGTATTAATATTATTAGAAATTTGTTTTAATTATATTATTAGAAATTTATTTGAACTATATTATAAAATAATTGTAATTGACTGTTTTTCAAGATGTTTTTTTATTGTCATTTTACATGTTTATAGTTAGTTTTTGTCAAACATAATTTGTTAATCAACTAGTTTATCATCTAATTTGCCAAACATAATCCTTAATAATCTGTATATTTTTTTATAATGTACAAACAACACACATATCTTGTCAACATTTATTAGATTTAAATATTTGCATACATACATGATGGTAGAGATGGTTAAAAATAATTGATTTCACCGGAGGGATTTAGACCACCCCGAAACTAGATTTGTTAAGGTCCAGTCGTCAGGCCCAGTTATAAGAAGTTCTTGAGAACTAGCTAAGGGCATGTCTTTGGACCGGTTATCAGGTCTGGTTAGAAAATCCCGCCAAGTTAGAAATGACCGATTGGATGAACAAAATTATAAAACTGTAAAAATAAATAAAGTGTATTTATTTTAATGTATATATATATATATATATATATATATATATATATATAAGACCGGTTACATCAAGCCCTACCAGTTATAGATGTTTAGTAAACGACGGGTATCAAGACCATTACTATTTCAAGATCCTTAACCTGGGCCAGTTACGACCCGAATTTTTACCATATCTATATGTTGGGTCACAATGAAAGTCATTTGTTAATAAACTTTTATACTGTATATCAATAGTCCTTTAAAAATATAAAAATCAATATCAAACACTTCAACATCAACATAGTAAATTAAACCATCACAAAAGACTTCAACATCATTCCAGTAAATTAAATCGTCACATCCGCTCTTATGACAAACTTGCATATTAAAACACCATCATAGTCATCGATTATATATGAAAGGATTACTCATTATCTTAAGAGATAACTTGTATATCTTTTTTTCTAAGACGATCAAGATAATATTAACGATTTAATTAATATAATTTTGGTGCGAAACTGCGAATCCATCCAATCTCATATATAATTATTTAAGATAATATTTGTTAAAAGTCATATAAAATGAGGAAAATGTATTACCTAAAGTTTTTTTTTGGTTGATTAACCTGGATATCCAATCCGCTATGCGAGCCGACTAATCCCAGGACGACCACTTGCTTTGCAGATAGCCCAAAGTCACCGCATTTGAAACTCCGTGACCATAAGGGGATTTTTATTCCTTCTTAGATTTGAACCTGTGATCTCCTGATACTTTTGACTTTTGGAGTCAAGCTCAAATCAATCAGACACTACACTTGTAGTTAATATTACCTAAAGTTGAGTTGTATATAATTATTTAAAGTTATCTATGATTAATTTGGTTCAAATTATTGTATCAACTTTTGGCATTTGTTATTGCATGATGATTTGAAGTCAACGATTTGACTTTCACAATAAGCTAGCATTCGGATGGCAAAATAGATTTCGTGTTTAACAAGGAATTTGAGATGTGGACGTCATATGTACTTCTATGGAAGTATGGAACCTGAAGTCAAGATACAAATTGGATAAACAAAATGTTTAGACAAATCAACGATTTTTTTCAATGATTAATTAGTCTCTTAAGTTTCTTTTGAATGAATAAATTATTGACGTTTCTCATTATTATTGATTTTAGTGTTATCAATTATTTTAATGTGATTGTGATTTACGTGAGATACATCTGATAATAAGACATACATAAGTGAGTTAAGAGGTGCGGAATGCACACTCACAAATGTTGCCTCTATCACCTTAGATCATTATACAATGGGGGTCAAGGTGGTTGCGCCCCTTGTGGGGTCCAAGGGACAGAGCCCCAAGGTCTACGGATTTTAAGAATAGTATTACTTAGGAATTTTATGTCTCGAACTAATCCGGATGAATTTCCTTCTTGAAATTGTTCCTGAATTTGGTTAAATTGTGGCCAAGTGTAGTTCAGAGGCAGCGGAATCAAAGACTCTGAGTCTTCTCTCAAGTTCGTAAAGGTCGAGGACCAGAGCGACCGGCCCTTTAGACCTTAAGAGCCTCTGATTCGTATGATTAGAGTCTCTCATCCTTATGATCAGAGCTCTAAACTTCTTCTTACGTGATGCTTCTGACTTAAAGCTTCTGAGTCAGTTGTAACTACTTTCAAATCTTATCCATTCACCATTTTAACTGTCGTGCAGTTATGTCTTAATGGTTCATAACCGTCGACCTCTCATATAAATATGTAAAAGAGAATCTTGGTGTTTATAAGGACTTGATCTTACTGCCTTTAAGATTAGGGTTTTCAATTGGATTATCCGAATACGAAATTCGTGACACTCAAAGCAATAAGGGTTAAATTATCATATTCAGAAAATGTACTATCCGCTATCCAATATTGATTATGTATCATCTCAATCTCCAATTCCTAACACTCATTTTAAATAAGTTCCTACTTTTTTTAATAAATAAACAATTAAACTATCATAATTTGGTTACCTATATACTTTTAACCTAAAAAAACTACGTGTAACCATTTAGGAAGGTTTTAAAGTAAAAAAAATCTAAATCTAAAAAAACCACGAGTAATCATTAGCCCCTACCATTGATGTCCTTTTTGATCAGTTGTTTTGAATTTTGATATTCTCTCTTTTTTACCTAACTATATGTACTCCATTAAATTGTTGTAAAAGAGGGAGAATCGAGAGACAAAAAAAAAACATATCAAAAAAGAGATTGATGGCAGGAGCCAATAATGATGATGAATAGTATGAAGAACAACTGACAATGGGAGGCGAGGGGGAGCAATGTCGTTGGGTGTGAGTGCTTTGAAAGGCGTAGAGCTTTGATAGTGGTAAAACCAATTTAGGTTTTTCTTTCTTTTTACGTTAAAATATTTCTAGCTATTGGCAGGTAGCTTTTTTAGGTAAAAAATTAAAGATGTGACTAATTTTGAAAAATTCTATAATTTTTTTTAAATGTTTAATAACTCAATCATTCAAAATGAGAAAGTTCAATAGTTTCTCCGTTCAAACAAAATTCACATTGCGTAAAATGTCAGTTTGGTTTGATACTCTCTATTTCTGAAAGTAATGTCCACAATAATGACTACTTACGGTTTTAGTTCTATATAATTAATTACTACACCTTTTAGTTAATTAAATAATAATTTTACCTTAATTCATATTTTAAAAAGTATATGTTATGGTCTAAAAACATACATGAAAATGTAATACTTTGCCTTAACTTTCTTTTTTTCTTATTATGAAAATTTTAATAAAAAATATATTTAGAAGTTATTCTCTATAGAAAAAGTTCACATCATCAGTCACATCAGAAACAATATTGAGTTGTATGTTATATCGTTTCTTTCTGACTATATGTAATAGAATATCAACCCTTGATATTCAATTACATACTTGATATTCTATTACATATAGTCAAGAAAATAAAGAACGAATCACATAATCTTTTATATATGTATAAAATCAAGAGTCGCATACACACACTAACACACACACAAATAGAGCTTGGAAATTTTGTAAGATATTATATATTACATATTTTCATGTTATCAAACACATTGTCGCTGGACCTTTTGATGTCCATCTTAGGTTATTAGTCTTTGTTACAAGCAAAACACACAAGAAAAAGGGGGAAGTTGAAATAATATGTACAGATTTTCTTGACCTTTTAAAACATCAAGAAAATATTATATCTTCATATTTTAATTCTGGGGTATGCATTCCATAACCCTTGAGAAATGCTTTGCAAATTTGTTGCCAACACTTCCTATCTGGTTCTGCAATTTCCAGCTTTAACCTTGCGTCTTCAGCAAGTCCAGTCTGTATTTCATGATCCATGGATCAATCTCAATTAGTTTTCTTAATTAAACAAGAGAACGATAATACAGTTCAAGAAGCAATCCAAGGTCTGAAACTTTTTACATGCCCGAAGTGTAAGATCCTTATTCGAAACCATTAGAATATCAAGAACAAGATCTTAACCGGTTGAGACCAATAAGCTTATGATCAATTGCATACCTCAATGGAATCTTGAGTCAGAAGGCGGTCGATGAGGTTATTCAGAATGTCTTTGGTGTACTCTGGATGGCCTTGAATCCCAAGAATATGAGTTCCGATTGTGAACATTTCGACTCCTGTCTTGTCTGAGAATGCTATGACTTCTGCTCCTGTCGGCACCTCCCACACCTGTGCGCGTTCATATATAATGTCATATAAGTACAAAAACAAACTTGCCAGATCGGGTTTGTTCAGATATGCTTCGATTTCTTCTTAAGTGGTTGAGACTTGCTCATGATAACTTAGATGCTGTATCTCTAAAACCCTTGTATTGCATAGTTATTTATCATAAATACATCAATCAAATGACAAGTTTCAATATTCCTTAGATATTCTCTCCAAGGTGCATTGAGGTAGAAAGAAAAAGGAAATTAAAGAAAAGAGAGGTACCTCATCTTGGTGGCACTCAATGATGGAGAGGGATGGAGGCATCTCATGCAAGCTTTCAAGAAAACTGCAAGGGGAGAAATCTTTGACAATCTTCACTTTCCTAAGCCCTATGTCCCAACCACTGTGTGATTTCCCTACCTTTCCCCCTAATGCTCTGCACAAAACCTATTTAACACCAAAACAGAAACAAGTTATGTTGGATTAAGAAAAAAGTAAGCTGGATTATGGAACCCAACAATCCAATAATTTATATAAAGACATCCATGATGCAAAATTTGAATCTATGATGCGAAAATACTAGTTGCCAAGACATATATGCCGCATTGTTTGGTGATAGGACCACTGTCGAATCTACATCATGAATATCTTTAAGATGATATATACTGAGGAGGAAAAGTTGAATATGTGGCCGAAAATTAAAGATATAAGTGGGGTCTTTTTGCTTCATTTGATCAGAGAATTAAGTATAAATGGAGAAGAAAAGATACCTGGTGACCAAAGCAAATGCCAAGGACTTTCTTTTGCATGCAATCTAGGGTTTGCAAAAGAAAGCAAAGCTCAAGAATCCAGGTGTCATCTCCATAAGCATCATAAGGGCTTCCACTCACAACAAACCCATCATAGGCTTGAAGCTCATTCGTATCAGGAAACTCCCCATCAACAACCCTATATAAATCCCACCTTTCTTCTTCTTCTTCTTCACCAAAAGCTGCCAGAAACACATTAAAATACCCTCCGTACACCTTCATCACATACTCTGAGTCTCTTGCTGCTAACAGCAATGCATACCTTTTCTTGCGTTCACTTTCTATCCCCATTTCGATGTGTGTTTTTGTGAAGAATCTAGAGAGAGAGAGAGAGAGAGAGAGAATTATGCTTTGTGTTGGTGTTTGAAGAGGGATATGATGCTTTTTATATATAAAGGATAGAGAATCAAAAGAATAAATTAAGACCAAGGAGTGCCAAATAAGTCGGTAGGGAATTCGATTAAAGAAAGTGGGGAATCGAAGATGACTTGGGAAAGCTTTCGTAAGTCTCCTTAGTCAAAAATTTAATAAACATTTCATTTTTCTTTCAAGTTTGGAATCAGGTGAAGACAAACATGACTGATTTTTTTGTAGATATTTGGTGTCCTGAAACAATAAGAACTGTACTACAACCTCCTCCACTTCAGTTGAAAGAGATATATAAAATATATATGGGTGAAGAAATTAATGGGTCGTTTTGGTTACCGGGTAAGTGCTTACCAGATTAATTACCTTACCGGTGAGCATAGGAAGAACGGAGAATCTTACACGCCGGTCAAAAGAAAGGTAAGTATTGAGAGTTCTACCCGTTAAGTACGGCTGGTAAGCATTTATCACCTGATAAATGCTTACCGGGTGAATAAAACCTTACCATCAATCTATTGATAACAGAGATGTTACATGATAAGGTAATACGAATTCTGACTCGTGCCAGCAAACACTTACCTGTTAAACGTATCAATAATTCACATATGAACTTTTCTTTAACCTTATTCTTATGTTCTCACGATAATTAGTGTTTTTATTTGAATATTCCACTATTAAATACTCTATAATTTATTGCCTCAATATTTCTTTAAATAAAAAATTAGATAAAATAATAACACATTCAATTTTATTGGTCAAGAAGAATTAAAAAATTCAAACGTTATTGTGGGGGTGAGTATATTATTTGTATGCTATTTTAGGGATGATGAAGTTGCTATGATTATATATAAATACAAAACCATATTATCATTCTCAATTATTTATTTATTATCTTTTAATTTTAATTATGGGTTAAATAATTAGGAGAGCTAGAAAGGTTCTCGTATTTTCGTAAAACATGGTGTTATCGTTTGAACCATTCCCTCTATATATGTATAGGTGTGAGTTTGTCTGTGTAATACATTGGTTCATCGTTTAACTAGTCTTCTTGGAAATAATCTCTCAGTTTCTGAGATAAATGTAAAGTATGTGTATATCTTACATGATTATATACTCGGGTAAAATATATTCACTACAAAAATGAAGAGTATTAGCGAGGGAATTTCGTCACTAAAAGGGTCTTGCGTCGTTGATCTGTCGCTGATAGTCCGTCGGTCAAAAGCTCGTAGGTAATGCTATCAGCAACGGAAATCAACAACATATTTGCGAGGGTTACTTTCAGCGATGAATCAGCGAGAGAACTTTTAGCAGCGGATCAACGAGGGAACTGGTTTTTGACATTATTTTCGTCGTTGATACCTTGTTTTCTAGTAGTGACTGGCTTTCATTTGATTTGATTTTCAACCCGAAACAAGTTTACATGCAAAAACCTTAAACATCCACAGTTATAAAATACTTATCTATTTTTATAAAACTTTCATATTATTGTTTCTCATACCATGCCATTCTATAAATTACTCTCTTTTTCTTTATAATCCCATTTCATAATCATGAAACTCTTACCAAGTTTAATAGAGTTTCATATATGGATCTCATTTAATTCTTTTTTTTTTCTTCTTTATTTAAATATAAATTCCGATTAAACCAAATTAATTTATATCAAATCTATTTTTGAATTTGTAATCAAAATAAAGTTACATTAACATAAGTCAACATGACAGCAACAAAAATGTAAGTTAATTTTCAGTATTATTGACTCTAAAACGTTTAATGACAACGACGATATATTAAAATAAAATAATTTTTAATATTTAATTTATTAGTTTTTTTACATATATATGGAGCCCGCTTCCAAACCAACAAAACGCTGAATATTTGAGGTCGTGTTTTGATTCGTTAGAAAATGAAAATATTTGAACAATTATTTCATTCATACATTTTTTTATTTTGATTTTGGATTTCTTATTACACCCATGTAAAATTTTAAATTCTTGTAGTGTCTATTTGGTTTGACCGACTATTTTCGAGAGACTTGTATTTCGTGGATTGATTTGGAATTGGATATATCTGAAATCTTTGGTATATTTGGTTTGTAAGATTTACAATGAATCGAATTCTATTCTTTATAAAAACAATTAAATTATCTTTTTGTTATTTGATTATTGCAAAAAAAAAAGTGTTATTAATAACATTATTACAAAGAAATCGTATTAAATACAAGGAAATACAAATACGCCGTGGGATCTCTAAATCTTATGTTTCTGGATTTTCTTTGAAATTTCGGGATTTCAATTCCGTACTTTCCTTTAAATCAGATGTGGGATCAACTCCAAACCACACCAAATCTTATCAAATCCCAGGCCCGTTGGTTTTGATATAATGTTTTTTTTAGAGATTTAGATTTTGTGGAGAGATTTAAAATTGGAATAATTTAAAATCTTGGTTGTGTTGGTTTGCAGGATTTAATTTGGGATGAAATTAATTCTATACTTCATTTAATTTGGGATGAAGTTAATTCTATACTTTATTGATAATTTATAAAAACAAATTATAAATAATAATACAAATAATCAAATTATATTTATTAATTGATTATTACAAAAACAAATGTTTTTAATATATTTTAAAACACTAATATAAACAATTCACATCCGTGAAATACCAACTATCCCATGGGATTTCTAGATCCAATGTTTGAGAGACATACTTTCCTGTATACCAAACAGAAATTTCACTAAATCCCTTCAAATCCAACAAACCAAACAACCATTAGTTTTATTAATGAATTCCAACTTTGTTTCATCCCATCATTTGAAGAACAAAGCTATATATTCAACCCTTATATGTACTCTAATCCAATCTATCTCACCATGACGATTGTTGACCACCACCATCACTGTCTTCATCACCACCGCCAACACCACCATCACAACCATAACCACAAACCCAACTACAACCAAAAACAACGCCATCGCCACTTCATCATTTCCACTACCCCTACCACCATTGTTTCTACCACCACCACTATCGTCATTGTCACCGCCACCATAACAACCCCCTTCTTCGCCACTGTAACCACATCATCATCACCGCCATCACCTCTACCCATTAATATTATTATAAATATTATCATTATATGGTACTTATAATTTAAGAAATAACAGGATATTGCAAGAACCGATTGAGTTGGAGAGGTGGCTTATAAATTGGATCTTCCAGGGGAGCTTTGGGGAATCCATAACACCTTCTACATGTCCAACTTAAGGAAGTGCTTGGCGGATGCGATCATGTATGTACCTTTGCAAGATGTGCAAGTGAATAAAAGGTTGAACTATGTTGTAGAGTTGGAGTAAATTATGAATAAAAAATTCAGAAAGTTAAGGAACAAATAAAACATGCTAGTGAAGGTGCAGTAAAGGTTCCTTAAAGGGCAAGATGCCATGTGGGAGCCCGAGTTGGAGATAAGGCCAAATACCCCCATTTGTTTGCTCAGAGGAAATTTTGAGAGAAAATTCTTTTAAGGGGGAGAGTTGTAATAAACCAATGTCCAGTTTTAGGTAAATAACTGAAACTAAGGTTGGATTTGAAAAAGAAGTCCTATCTACAAGGACTAGTGTTGTAGATTCAAGATTTAAAAATTGGGTCTTTATTCTTTATCTCATTTACATTCGGCTGAGAAGTAGTATATGTGTGTGAAATTAGCTGTGGGAGGAAGAGTTGGTGTAGAGAAGAGGGTTATTGAAGATCTAAGAAGAGAAAGAGATTTCGACTCCATTTTTGGTAAGATTATCCTCTTATGCACACCTTCCTTTCTTGTTGAAGTCTTACCAAGAAGAATGCCAAGTTTTAGTGGACCGATACCCAAGAGGTTGTATTTAGCACTTTCAAGGGGAAGTTGAATAGTGCACCGATTTTATCACTACCGGATGGGTCATAAGGATTTGTGATTTACAACGATATTTCCAAGTTAGGATTACGGAGTGTGTTAATGCAACATGGAAAGCTCATCGCTTAAGCTTCTTGATAATTGAAGGATTGTGAGAAAATTACCCCACTTATGATATGGAGTTGGCGATAGTTTCTACATTAAAGATTTGGACACATTATTTTTACAATGGCAGATGCGATATCTACACTAACCGTAGGAATCTCAAACACTTGTTTGATCAAAAAGAGTTGAAACATGAGACAAAGGTGGTAGATGAAATTGTTGAACAACTATGATTGTGAGATTATTTATCACCCAGGAAAGCAAATATGGTAGTCGATGCCTTAATCCGGAAAGAGAAAGAAGAATTCACCAAAGTGATAGCATTTTAAGTCGAAGTGTCATCCAAAACACTATAAAAGATTAAGAATTGTCAAACTGAAGCGATGATGGATTTGAATCATAAGAGTGGAAGAATTGTAGGGATTGTGACATTGTTGGTGGCTAAAAATAATGGATTGAGATGTTTGGAGAACCATGTGTGGGTTCCTAAGGTGGGTGGAATATGTGGGAAGGTGTTAGAAGAAGCACACAAATCTCAGTATTTTGTGCATCCGGGTATCAACAAGATGCATAGAGATCGTAGACAGTTTTACTGGTGGCCCAGAAATAAAAAAAGGATATAGCCCATTTTGTTGAAAGATGTGTGACATGTATACAAGTGAAACCGGAACATCAAAGACCTTATGGGAAACTACAAACATTGGATATCCCTATGTGGAAATAGGATGACATAATCATGGATTTTCTCATAAAGTTAATGAGAACACCTAAGGGCTTTGATGCGATATGAGTGATACTAGATCACCTTACGAAATAGACTCATTTTTTATCGACTAAAGAGACGTATCCGATGAAGAGGTTGGCAAGGTTATATATTGATGAGATTGCATCGAAATGCGGTGTACCTTTGCCAATAGTTTCTAATAGGGATAGTTGCTTTACATCCTCATTTTGTGGGAGTTTCCAAAGAGAGTTGGGTTCGTAGATAAAGCTAAGCA